CTCATTTGTTCTGGTCTGCCGACCCCCATTTTTGCGCTCTAAATGATCATTGAGCATTTCTGGTGTTGCGGAGTTTCTCGCGTGGTAGCCAATGTGACTCCTTAAAACTCGCACAAGTTGAAACGTCGCTGTTTTTGAGGGAATGTCTTTGTAATGCGGCTCGAAATTGTTTCTGTCATGCTTAGACCACGTAAATACACACTAAGACGAATCGAGAAGCAGAACCAACTACATTGTATAAACCGATTTGCAATAAGAACCATTTGGTGCGAATCGAAATGTAAAACAAACTACTTTACGAACCGATATTCGACTAAAAACATAATGCAGTACAAACGACTTAGGACGAACTGCCATGCAAAACGAACACCTTATCACGAAATGCCTTGTACTAAAAACGACTTGATAGGAGTCGATTGCACGCAAAACTTTAATTTACGAAAGTTCATATTAGATGGTAAAGAGATGTTTGCTCATAATGGTTGTTGTTCGGGTAGAATGGTTCATTTGTTAAAATTTGGCTGAATAACCGCATTTTAGTGATAATTCATCCCAATTTATCCCATGAAGATGAATAGATTGTTCAGCACAATGGGAACACGCAAAGGTAGAGATCAGTTAGATTGAACTTAAAACTCGGAAAAATATAAGAAAACCCTCAAAAGTAATTTATTGAATTTAGTTTTTGAATTCTTGAATAAAATCAAACTAAATAATAGAACTAAATGAAATAAAATAATAGAACTACTAAACTAAATTCAAAATCAGATGAAATGCAATGAGAATATTATAATATCGAAAGATTCTTTTCGATTTAACTTTCAACAAAAGCTTCAAGTTAGCAAAATGAAGCTGACCGTCTTATAACCAGGAGCAACGTAGGAACGAAAAGGAATATTAAGGATAGAAGCAAGGCAGGCTCGCTTGGCCACACCCTTCGTCCTGATGACTATCAGATTGTCCTGAAGCCTTGACCCACAATCCTATGCTCACAACCTTCTAAGCGCTGCACTGCGGCGTCTTCTTATCTGTTATCATTAGATGAACCATAAATTTTCTTTAAGGTGGACTAGACGTTTCTTAATAACCCGTAGTTTCCTCATGTTCGTGTACATTTATGGACGTGTTGTGAATTGCTCTAACCGCACAGGTAGTAATACTGTACTATACACGCCACTGTTTTACATGCGCGGAACAGGACGGGGAGATTACCTGGAATAAACATGTCTCTAAATACCACCATCTGTATAAAGAAATGTCTCACGCCATTGTGAATGGCTTGAACGAATAATTTGGCTTTTAAAATTGGAATTATTTCAGTTTCGTTAATATATAAACTGGAATTTATAAATTCTCATGAGAGTCGCGACCTTCCAAAGTTTCAAATATATTAGTTCGAAGATTTCAAATTTGAACCTAGCCACAAACTAATATTCCTGCGAGCGTCGGAAGCAACTGTGAAAACTCTCTTATTTAATGAGAGAAAATATTATACAATCCTAAAATATTTGCCGTGAAATAATAATCTGTACTGAATTGGTCGGGTTTCGTCGTGTCTTGAGGTTTCAATTTAATTCAAATGGGAAATTTGGCTACTTTCATTTTAGTCCAAAATTTTGGATTAAGTAATTAGTAAATAATTAGAGTTGATTCAAGATTGGCTCGAAGGAGCACTAACTCGCTGTCAGTGAGGCGAGTGATTAAGGAGAGTTAGTTAAGCCTTATTAGGAGCGCAACGCTGTGATTAGTTTTACAGTTCAATAAAACTGGCGAGGGCTTACCTCGGAGCCCTGCAACTCCTGTACCACTTCAGCTCAAATAATTAACGGTAAGACTTTTAATCATTTCATCACGCAGCTGAATAAAGATAAGAGAATGCAGCTGATTTATTTTTGCAACATAAGGACATGCAACTGATTTACTAGTAATAAATATATATGAAACATCGATGTTCAACTATATGAGTGAACAAATTTTCACTTGGCTAATTTACCAGTGTCTTACAGCTCAATAATTGAGAAGCGACGTCCACTGATACGAGAAACTTTAACCTACAAAAATGTGCAAACGACTTTCCGCTTCCCCGCATTTTAAACAAATATCAAATGTCTACAAACAATAAGGCAAAAAGTTTAACACTCCGTGCAAGTTACATCGCATTCGCCACCGCATGGGTTTTCTTGTAACTAAATCTTTATTCCCTCTAATGCTATAATATAATTAAATTATGTCGAGAGATCCCGGCAAAAGTTCTCACGTGTCCGCACTGCGTTAGTTGCGGAGTTGTCGGTGCAACATTTAGCGCTCCGCTTTCCTCGTTTAATGAACAAACGATGTCGACGAGACTAAGCTTCTGCACGCAATTCGTGCTACGAACTTAAAAGAACTAAATATATTTTGATCTGCACGCACTTCGTGCTACGAACTTGGAAGAAGAAACCTGGATGTTGAATTTATTTTGAGTTTCTTGGGTTCAAATGACGAGCGCTTAAATTATTTAATTGTATCGCGTTTTGAGAGCACGACTTAATGTGTATATGTGTATATTAAGGGTCGTTTGCTGATGCGTATCGACGAGTGAAAATTAATTCTATAATTAATATAATTAGATTTAATTATTATGAAAATTTAACGAAGGGTGTCCAGAGGAAAATGCAAGTATTCAATATATAGCGACGGCTACAAATATTTCACAATATATGCATGGCAACAAAGGCCAAGATAGATTTCACTAACGTTGGTTACTCCTCTTCTCTTAATTTTGGAAGAGATTTTCTGTGACCAAATATAGTAAGTTGTGCGCTAAAGGTTTAAACAATACAGAGTTGGACCCGAAATACAAATAATATCCTTACTATCGATAGAATTATCAAGCGGAGATAGAAAAAACTTTGTCCTCGGAAACGAACAAATTTGCGCATAAGTTTTTTCCACAGACGAATAGCAATCAAGAACAAAATGCGATTGATGCGCGAGAAAACAGTGCACAGAAAATGAGAGCTTTTGCGGAGGCACATGATCTCGTCGGTTGAGAGATTTGTACGAGACAGCAAATGGACTGATGAACGCACTGTCAGAGGAATAAGTTTTGTCTTCATATCATCAATGATATTGCTCTGTATGTCAGTATGAGGAATGCATATTGCACAGTCACATGAACATGTTTTATATTCTTATCTTATCATATTCTTTTAAACAAAATACTTGTATTTCATCCTCACTTCGGATATTTATTAAAAAATATTACCTCAACGTAAAAAATCTAAATTTATGTGATTTTTTTTAGAACATATTGGGGATTCTTTTGAACACAATACCATCTCGTAGTAAGGACGTTTCGTGAAAATTATATTCATTCACCGTTTCTCGTGGGGCATGAAAATGCCTGCAAGCCTATTACATAGTCTCAACTTTCTTAACGTTAATGGGAGACTAAATGTCACTTAAACTGCCTGGAAGTTGGTGTAATTGACTCTCAATTAACAAACCGAATCGACGAGTTAGAAGTTACGCAACTGACGCCCAAAAGTTCGGAACAAGGTTTGAATAATTAAATATCAGGAGCTGGGACATTCCATTGAATTAGAGGACTGCAAACAAAATAGTTCTAACTACTCTTATAGCTCTAACTACCTAGTTCAAAATAGTTCTAACTACCTAAATACCTAAGTTCTAACTACCTAACTACCTAATTTTGTAGTTCTAACGAACTACAAAATAGTTCTAACTACCTGTGCCATGTTATTCTTTGTCCATAGGCCTCTAATTTAGACTTATGCAAAATAAAATTTTTATAGTAATCTGAAACTTTTATCACTCATTTTTAAAATTAAAGTTACACTGTATGAAAAATGCCAGTATTTATACAGATGACATTGGCTCACTTGTCTCTTAAATTAAGTCTATTCTCATATTTATCATTCATTAAGAGTTCATTGAATTATTCCGTGTTCAGTCAAGTGCCCTGAAGAATCAAAAAATAAAATTCGGACGCTTCTGGTCGCATAGGTTCGAAATTACCACAGAAATTCCGAGAAAGAAGCTCATGTTAGACTTCAGCATTTAAATATTCCAACAATAAATGAAATAAAATAAATCTTCTCATATTCATACAGCAATCTTCATGTTTACGACCTCCAGAATTATATAAAAGCTTGTTCATTGCAGTCGTGATCCTAGTGGAAAACGATTTCCCTTTTTCATTTGCAATTGAAACGCAAACAAAATTTCCACATAAAACTTTAAAGCCTTTTGTTCACATTTTGTTTTCTCAACAGTTTAAACTTAATGTCTTAACGAAATCTTCACTTTCAAATTTGAATAACATTTGAATTTGAATAACATGTCCGAAAACTCACCTCAAACCTAAGGTAAAAGAGCAGCAGCAGTTTATTAACCTCTATCGTATTTAATTTCTTTGAAAACGAAAGGAACATCAACTGCTCTCACCCTGGACAGACGCGACCCAAGGTTAGGATATCTCATAACAATGCTTTAATTTGATGTAGAAAGAGAAAAACCTGAGCTTGACTCACTCTGGACAAACATGAAGCGTTGTTGGGGTACCACCTCTGAATGACAGACGTGATCCGCGGTTGGGGTACCTCGTGAAAATGATTTTATTTCATTTAAAACGAAAGGAACATGAGCTGTACTCACCCTGGGCAAACGCGATTCGATGTTGGGGTACCATTTCAGAATGGCAGACCTGACCCGCTGTTATATAATTGGAGTACTTCTTGAAAATGCTATTAGTTTTTTTTAAACGACTGGAACATGAGCTTGATTCACCCTGGAGAGAAGCGACCTGATGTTGGGATACCACCTCAGAAAGACAGACGTGATCCGTGGTTTGGGTACCTCGTGAAAATGATTTTATTTCATTTAAAACAAAAGGAACATGCGCTTAACTCACCCTGGACAGAAGCGACCCGGGGTTTGGGTACTTCGTAAAATGCTATTATTTTATTTAAAACGAAAAGACCATGAGCTGCACTCACCCTGGACAGAAGGGACCCAGGATTGGTGTACGACCTGAAGATGCTCTTGTCGGGTCGTCGCGTAAGGCTGCCTGGAGGAGGAACAACCACGTCACGCACCACACCGCCCCCAGCAGCGGCGTCCTCCGACACCGCGTCTCTGGTCGTTCGTTTGCTCTTCTCTTTCTTTTTCAGTTCGTGAAATGGTTCATCAATTGAATTAATTTGTCGTTCGTGCTGCATGTGATTTGCTTCAGGGTTGTAATCAGGAAGGGATTTTGCATGCAATGGAGAATGCATTTGAAATTTGCTGTCTTCACTTTCTTTGTCGAATTCGTAAAATATTTCCTCTCTTGGCATAGCGCTACTTACGAGTTGTTCGCTTTTCCTGCTTCCTCCATCTTCCCCGTCAAAATGTACTTTTCTTTCAAGCCCTTTTTCTTTTTCCTTGTCTATAGTCTTAGCAAGAGCTCGTTGATTCAAATCAACGCTTCTATCTATTTTACCATCAGCTGAATTTCTTCGATCAGACTCTATGTTTGTCGTCGATAGTTCGCCATATTTCTTTTTGTGTCTTTTGTGAAGTGTTTCTTCTACTGAAATAGGTCGTCTTTCACGTTCTTCATGCGCTGCTCTTATGACATCCCCTTCTTTTATGCTGTTGACATTAATTTCTTCAGTTTCTGACATGTTGTTTAGTTTCAATTGGTTAAGAAACTTCACAGCTTGTGCGCCTCCGACCCCAGCAATTGTTTTGTCTTGTAATATTTCGTTTCTCTTGGCCCGACCATTGATATTTTTGGAGTCTTGTCGTACTACGACGGTATTATATTGGGATCGAATCTCCGTTGAATCTTCAACCCTATCATCGTAGATAGAATTCATCTCTAAGCCTTGCGGTTTTATTGCTGATGAAACGCTTCGACGATGTAGTAAAGTTTCCGTCCGCGAGAAGTTCTTCGAGATTTTGTCTGGATCTATTTCCTGCTGGTTGACTGGAACGCTCGAAAGATTGCCATTAGAGGCAATCGCCGTAAAATTAGTGGGATGCGATAAAGCTTGAGGATTCAGTGCGTGAGACGACAATATCAATGAGTCGGAATTTGGAGAAGATCTGGCGTTTTGCCTGCTTGGGTACGGGGCTCTCGTCGAGTCTGCAAACAAACGAAAATTACTTATTTACTATTAAATTTAATAAAAAACCCAAATCAACGCTTTACTAATAGAGACCAAGATTCCAAGCTTGACGTTTAAAAGTAGAAACAGGATAACATTCTGGACTCTAAAGTATCGAAGTAGAACAAAGCGTCCGGAAAATTGGGAGAAAATTTTGGTAAGACACATTCTTAATTTTAAAATTGGAAATTCTTCGACAAAATAATGGCAATGATGAGTGAAAATACAGAATGAGCATCATATACAAAGGACCTTATCGGAATCTAGAAAAAAACGAAAAAGAAAGCATAAAATAGTGATTTACGAGTAAATTTGTAATCAATATTGGTATATACGAGTAGGTTTATAAATCGAACGTGAATTCCCCTGAAATCATTGGCGGTTTACAAACTTCTTGAACTTCTTTTCTTACTCTGAGAATCATGACAAGTTGCTTCCCGGAGTTACTTCGACAAATGCATAATTGAACTTGAATGATTAAAAAATTGTTTATTAAAGTTATTTTAATTGCTTATTTTTATATTAATTAGAGAAGCCAGAAGCTCAGCTCTCCGTGCACTCGTGGATAACTGATCTGTCTTTGTAGAAGTCGACAAGTGAAAGTTATTCAAGTAAGGACTGGAGTCGGAGCTACAAATCAAATGCCTTCAATATACAAAAGTATGAAAAGTCGACAACAATTAAGCTAGTAACTTCTACGATCGTTCTATTGTTCGTACTGTCAAAAATTAGCTACGAGTTCGTAACTCAGTCAGCCAATCATTGACGACTTTTTGAGCGAAGCCCACCAATCACAAGCGAAACTTCGGCCCGCTACTCGAGACCCTCTCACAAGCGCAAAAAGCACATCACTATTTGGACAAAGTCTCAATCATTTCACCGAGTTTACAAAAAAATTCCTGCACGTAAGTCAACTAACCTGCAGTAGTTGCGAGGGCAGCTGCCGAGGGCTGGTACTTCATGAGGAGGGTAGAGCCTTTGAACCACTGCAGGGAGTAGAGTTCTAGCGGGAGATCCAGTTTCAGCGTCATGTCGCTGCGCAATGGCAGTTGGTAGCGCATGTGCAGGCTGTCGCCGCAGGCGTAGACCAGTCCACTCACACCCGCCACCAACGCCACCAACACACCTTAAAAAAATATAACTCAGTACTCACTGCAGTGAGTGACAGAGAGCGCATGTTCTCGTCGACGAAAAAGTGAACTCACGGACGGACAGACAGACGGACAGACAGACGGACAGACAGACGGACATGGCGAGCACAATAGCGCATTTTTTCCATAAATGAGAAAATGCGCTAAAAATGGGAAAATATTGGATTTTGTTCCGGGATATATTGTGGTACCCGTATAAATAGACCGCCCACACCCGCCACCAACATGCTTTAAAATAACAAGAAAAATTATCCTTTTTGTGCGGGATGCATAGCAGCGTCCGCATATATGGTTCCTCCATACCCAACACAAAAATAATTTAAAATAAGGAGAAAATGTATTCATTTGAAGGATAGGGCCGTTTGCTTGATCGGTCCGCTCACAACCGCCCAAGGTTTCTGAGATAAATTAAAAATATAGAGAGATGGGATTCTTATACGGAATTGATTATGCAATACGTATGAGGGAAATATGAAAAAAGATTTTATCAAGAAAGTATAGCATAAACTGAAAAAATATAATTTCTTGGAAAAAAAACATTAAGGAAGAAAAATTCGCAGATTTTTCTCAATCCATTGACACGAAAGCTTCGTGGGTTTAGTTCAGCACTTTAAAAATTTCCACTGAAGGACACTGACACTGTCCCTCGATAAATTTCCTTTGTACACTTGCAGTACGTGTTAATCATTCTTGAGATTGCGACATTTCCTCTAATATTAAACCATTCGTAATACTAAAATTGTGGAGCACTAAATATTTTACTTCATCAATTAGTGATATATTTCATCGAAAAACTCCGAAATAGGAAATAACACAGAGAGCTACGGACCAAAAAGATTATTCCTGTCTTACCGCACTTCAATGATTAAGTAATACAAAGCCAAAAATTTTTTTACAGGTTATATCTCTAAACTTTACTCGATTGAAGACGATGTCAAGGAAAAATCAAATTACCTCAATTCTTATTGATTCCGACCAACGAGCAACTGAATATATTTCGAAAGTAGAAAATTGGCAGGCATGAACATAACACCGAAAACAAATTAAATTTTTCAAGATTAGAAGCCATCAGCAAATATTTTTAACTCAAATGACAATTTAAAAAAACATAACCAGATGAAAGCAAGCAATAAAAAAACAACTACCATGAAAATTCCTACTTAAAAATCATTTGCAGTTCATAAATCCTCCGCCAGGAGCAGAAGTGAACATATCGTTGCATTTGGCATGACTCATTATTTCATTTTTATTATTTTCAATCATGAGTTGTAATTAAAAATGATAAATTTTATTTAAATTTGGGTGTATGGATTTATCTGCGAAAATCATTTTTTGCGGATAAATCCGCCCGTATTATTGCACTAGGCTGGCTGCCCGTGAAGATTTGCATCTGCATCCGCATGAAATATATTTATGATTTCATGTCGCATTTTTCAGTACAGTGAAATGAATTGCTGTGCTTAACCGCCCGGCCTCCTCGCCGATTCTGACCAGAAACTGGCGCACAGAGCTGGGATCGAACCCGCGCCTCTCTGCGCCAATCCTGAAACTCTGAGCTGTAACCACTGGGCCACCCTGCCCACCCTGCATTTGGCAGGACTCATTATTTCACATTTATTATTTTCAATCATGAGTCGTAATATAAAATGATAAATTTTATTTAAATATGGGTTTATGGATTTATCTGCGAAAAATCATTTTTGCGGATAAATCCGCCAGTATTTTTGCACTAGGCTGGCTGCCCGTAAAGATTTGCATCTGCATCCGCATGAAATATATTTATGATTTCATGTCGCATTTTTCAGTACAGTGAAATGAAACCATTCGGCTATTAAACAGTTTGATGATCAGTTTAGGATCAATACAACCAGTTCATCTTACCACGAACTGGCATTAGAATTAGAGCCAAAAAATCTTAAAGTTCATCGCTTTATTGAACAACTTTTCAAACCTAAACGGAATACAGGGTTACTTACTGTTCGTCAACTTAGCGTCCTTTGCACTAAATGTCGCAAAAACAATGAAAATGAAAGAGCGAGAAGCGAATTTCCACATGAGATCATGTATAGTTGCAATCATCCTATTATTGGGACTTTATCCTGTTCTCGAAAAAAAAACTTCATGTAACACGAACTTATTCAGAAAATTCTACTCTTCACGATAATATCCACTGGCCTGTTTATCGTCATAGTAGGCCAGTGTACGATACATTTCATCGTCAAATTCATTGAGAAAAGTAAAAATATTTCATTATTTTAATTTTGAGAAAACCAAAATTTTCTTCCGAAGTGGATTCTATACAAAGGATATTACAGTTTTAAAATTTATTTATAAGAATTTTTAGTTAAGATATAATTAATTAATATTGATAATCTTGTATCAGGAAAATATTTAGTGAAGCGAACTTAATAATTTCAGTGGGAGAGGAATAAACTAATGTTAATATAAAGAATTTATTTTTATAATGATTTTTTCAAATATCACATAAATCTTTTATATGAATAATCTTCAGGCCTACAACATCGTCAGACTACTGAATTCGATCTCACCTGCTGAAAACAATCACTCATATTTTTGCAATGGCCTGGAATAGTTATTTGCAATTCAATGCATACTTGCGAAAAACTTAAAAGAAATTTCTACAGGAAGACACAATCCTACCGAGGCTTCCATTTGTCAGCTCAGGACAGGCGTAAAGTTACACGGGACTTCGCTGTTGGGTTTGCGAAAGTTTAGCCTAAGACGAATCGCTTTATTTGCTAGGCGCTCGAGAATAGGAAAGGTGCGGCGGCAAATTTTTTTGAAGATCCGTAGGCAAAATAACGTTTTCACAAATTATGTAACTTATTAGCCAACAAAAATTGAAAATAATCCCCAGAATCTGAGAAATTGATAAACGCTTACGAAAAATTGTTCCTATTTTCTTACCATTGCCAAATTTTTCCTCTAATTTTGTGATATGCAATCCGGCAATCCTGACGCTTATAAAATATTTGACGTTGAGATTGTAAAATTGACTTTCCAGGTATTGAAATAAATCAAAGAATTTCAAGCAGAAAAATGCTTAGTAAATTCACAATTTAATCGTCGAAAACCTTCGGAGAGTTTGGTCTGTTTCAATGGAACTTGGGTTTTAATCTCTTGTAATGTAAATTTGGCATTTCACTGCTGATTGAATTTGTGCTCTTTTAAATTTTTAAGTGATGATTTATTGTGGTCTCCAAAATGTTTTATATGAAGGCATTGTAACTTTACATGACTTTCACTTTGTTTTGAAATTGTTTGTTAACTTGCGTTTGGAGCTGACTAACTGGAGGAGCAGACTAAACTAAAACTTGTAGGAACTCAAAAATCTAAATTATTTTAATTGAGAAAATACTTCATTTAAAAACTGAATTTAATTTAAATACAGCCAAAATGTTATTTTAAATACGGCCTAAATTTGATTTAACGAAAGACCGAAGTTTTATTTAACAAAACCAGAATTGTATTCAACGAACAAACACATTTTCATTTGTCAAATAATCCAAATCATTTTATTGAACAAATAATCAAAATTTTATCGTACAATCAGTCAGAATTGTATTAAGCAAACAATTAAAATTTCATTTAAGAGCCCCAGGAATTTCGACATTTAATCGAATATATCTTCGTTATCAATTATACCTACATTAAGTATTTTATATGTTTCAAAATATGTTTTCTTTTATTCTATAATGTAAAGTCTGTCACTAATTTCCCCGACGTTATTCTAAAGGAAGAGAATATATGTTCAAATTTAAAGTATCGGATTACCGTGATATCACTTAAACAAATTCAAGACATTCAACAATAACAATCTATTGATCATGCAACATACTTCATGTGTCCTATGTTTGAAGTCTCCTTAGGGTGTAGGAGTAACCCCTTAATTAATTTCCAGCTCTAAAGAGTTCGCTAAAGTTTTATATTGATCAACTTATTCTTTGCAAATTTATATCAGGATTTAAAAAATTTTTTGCTCTGATGAAATGAGTACAAAACAAAACACATGTCCAATTTATCCCTAATTTGTTTATTATTACAGAAAATAAACATTTCAGTGGTGACATTCCACTTAATGATGTNTGTATTATCACGTTTAATCGACGCAAAAAGAATATAATGTCAAGATGGCGATATCTGATCAAATTTCCGATGATTGAACATATACTCTCTAATGTATAATTTATATAATAAATCCAAAGTTGAAGGTGCCATTTGCTCATTAGTAAGTACAGCAAATATTTTAAATTAAATTAAATTTAAAAGATATATACAGTAAATGTAATTTTCAATAGCAAGTTTGGTGAACTGGGTGCGAATATATGGAGAACAAATGTAGTGTGTAAATGCATGAATTCCTTTTAATATAAAAGCTAACCTACGCGCGTCCAGATACAAATGTTAAATAAAAATAATGGCGCCATTATACATACATGCATAAGCACATTCAAGTTACTCATAAAATTTTATAGTACTTGATATAAATATATGATTAATCCCAACCAACTCACATTTCCAGCAACAACCACCTCCAAATCTAAAGTCATGTCTCTCCTCGACGTAATTTTTTCAGCAATTTTATCTCTCTTAAACGGGCTCCGTTCACGGCATTCGAGTCTAACGAAAAGTTCGAGACGCGGTTTTTCAATTGCAGTGACCGAGTTAAGAAGTCCCGGCACCAGTCATTGAACATTCGACGAGCAACCGAACATTTCCCGTCGCGAGATTCGGAGCGACGCGTGACGCCCGAAACTTGGCAACTCAGCGGCCTGAGCTGTGCCGGGGCCTTAAGATTCTGCGCTGAGCAAGCAGACCCATGGCTTGAGAAATATGCGTTTAAAAATTACTTTTTAAATACAACACTTCTAAAGAATCCAGTGTCTCTGATGTTACACATTTACAATGAATTTCTAATTTTATTTTCATATGTTAAAATAATTAATTTATGAAATTTGTTTAATATATATAAAAAATTGAAATTTTAGGAATAATTTTTTCTGCCAATCGATTCAAGCATTGTCTCCAACTTTCAGACAGATTGGAAAGGTAGAAGTGTGTTAAATATAGATTATAAGATTTGTAGCAGACAGACAAACAAACAACAAGAAGTGAAGTTAAAAAGAAGTGTTGTAAAAATGGTAGGGAACTGCATGTAGGGAGCTATTTGTTTACAAGCGTGCCTACGTACTCGGTACTAATGATATCCGTTATTAGCTGCTATTATCTTAGTAACTGCTGTCAACGAACTAAATGCTATTAACGTACCAAATGTGATTAACACCGCACTTGAACTCCCAGTCGTAATTTGGAAATTATTTCGGGAAATGGAAAGTAATCCACATTCCACCATTCGTCCAGTGCGTCGAGATTGGGATTAATTTCAGTGTAAAAACTGTACCAATAGGAAAAATTAAATAATTGTGCACAATAATATTAATTGCGCCCTCATGCCTAATTAAAGAATAAAAAGGTGAGTCAAGCCCAAGTTTTAATGCCTTCTTTTCTAACATTTTATAATCTATACTTCAAATGACTGTTAGTGTACTTTAACATCAGTTCCGGTCTAAAACAAAATAATTATTTTAGTTCGATTGAGAAAATGATAAATACAATTCCGTTTAATTGTAATCGTTCTATAATTGAAAAAGCTGAATGGTGTAAAGTACTCGGGCGATTTTTGGTCGGCCCTTTCAGGTAGATGCTTCTTATCATTTAATCCACCCATCGAATAGCCACCCTCACAGAGAGCAAGCGCAGGGCTGTTGAAGAGGTCAAAGTAACAAATTTTCGGACAATATCATATTTTGCATTCTCTGACAAAAATCACTTTTTGGCAGTGAGTTCGTTTGAAAAATAAAAAAAAAAACATTCGAAAAAATGCGTGACTAAGAAAGTAAGGGTTTAGTTGGAGGTTTAGGGTTAAATTAAAACTGTTCATATTCAAGAATTTAGGAATGAAAAGTTTAAAAATTGAAGTTACAGAAACGAAGCTTTAAATCAAAATGTCTGAATCAAAATAAAATTCGAAGACGTGCGGTATCGTTACCACCATCAATCGCAACATTCAAGCCGGAGTTAGACCATTAGTCTCTCTCAAGGCGAGGATTGAGCCACGCACGAAGGCTTTAACTGCTCTATAGAGAACTAACCTTGATACATAACGGTCTGTCAGGCGCGAATATTCAAAAAAAAATTCCAATTGTTATCCTTGAGATTTTCAAACCTGATTTCAAAGCGTTAAATTTTCACTTTAGATCGGCTGACTCTTATGTTATTGCTGGGTTTTCAGAATGGCACCTAAACCGATACAAAATTCGCGTCACTATAATGCATCTAATTTTATGGAGCGGAAGCAATTTTATATTATCTGATGAATTAATAAACACACACACTAGAACGAGTAAAATGATTTATGATTTTGCGTTTGAAACCAAGCACCGCATTTAAATTTAAAGCTGATTTGTCGAAGCGTCGATTCATAACACTCGCAATACATCAGGATCGCGGGAGCTCCAAGACCTTGTTTCAGTAAAATGTTCTTGCTATAGAAATATTTTGAGGTGTAAGAAATTCGTCCATATCTCTCGAATGGTTATGAACCGTTATTTTACATATAAAAATGCAATTGTATACCTACTGTAAACTATTGTTTTTATTCCAGTTTTTCCTAATTTTTAAGGGGACTGTAATATTCGTGGTCTAACTTTTATCCGAATGTCAGCTTTAAGGCACAAATATTCATTCGAAATAAAATAAATAAATAAATATTATGTTGCAAATTCATTCATCCTTTGGAATACAAATAAGAAACCACAATGGCTTGAGTGGAATTGTACGAAAATAAATTTGTTCACAGAATTGATAAAAAGTTAATATATTTTTTGTTCATATGTTTCCAACAAATTGTATATCATTATGTTAATATAAAATGTTTGACATTACCTCCAAAAATCAGAAGTTATATGTTATGAACAAATAGAATTTATATGTTATTAGAAGTTATAGTTATATACACTCACGGCAAAGGAACTCGTATCAGCTTGCATCTTATTGTAATACAGAAGCAACGGCACAAATTGAATTTTCGAGGTAGATAGGGAATAATATATCGATAATCAGGTTACCTCAAAGAGATGAATTGTCCTTTGTCTAAATTGTTACGCACTTTCTTACTCGAAGCACCAAAGCACGAGCAAAGTGCGGATGTATCACTGACACGCCCTATTTTGCAGGCCCGCCCAGATAACCCATGCAAGAGGAAAAAAAGGTATCGATATTTGGTTCAAGTCCCATTCATTTGTTAGCATGCATCACTGGGATCTATTCTCATGCATACAGTCATTTACTCTTGAGTAACATTTAACGCGTCCTCTCGTCGAACCTTTTCGTGTTTGAGATTTTCCTGTTGGATCACTATCATTACACAATCAATTATTAAATCACTTGCATGTAACCAAAGCTCATCCGCTGATTATTATCACCNAAGACACATTCTTAATTTTAAAATTGGAAATTCTTCGACAAAATAATGGCAATGATGAGTGAAAATACAGAATGAGCATCATATACAAAGGACCTTATCGGAATCTAGAAAAAAACGAAAAAGAAAGCATAAAATAGTGATTTACGAGTAAATTTGTAATCAATATTGGTATATACGAGTAGGTTTATAAATCGAACGTGAATTCCCCTGAAATCATTGGCGGTTTACAAACTTCTTGAACTTCTTTTCTTACTCTGAGAATCATGACAAGTTGCTTCCCGGAGTTACTTCGACAAATGTATAACTGAACTTGAATGATTTAAAAATTGTTCATTAAAGTTATTTCAATTACTTATTTTTATGTTAATTAGGAGCCAGAAGCTAAGCTCTCCGTGCACTCGGAGATAACTGATTAAGTCTTTGACGAGGTAGACAAGTGAAAATTATTCAAGTAAGGACATTCAATCAACGAAAGTATGAAAAGGCGACAACAATTAAGCTAGTAAATTACACGATCGTTCAACTGACCGTACTGTCAAAAAATAGCTACGAGTTTGTAACTCAGTCAGCCAATCATTGACGGCCTTTTCAGCTAAACCCACCGATCACAGGCGAAACTTCGGCCGCTACTCGAAACTCCCCCACAATTTCGAAAAGCGCATTACTATTTGGACAAAGCCTCACTCATTTCACTGAGTTTACAATAAATTCCTGTATGTAAGTCAACTAACCTGCAGTAGTTGCGAGGGCAGCTGCCGAGGGCTGGTACTTCATGAGGAGGGTAGAGCCTTTGAACCACTGCAGGGAGTAGAGCTCCTCGCCCTCTAGGTCAAAGTCGCAGTACAGCGACGCGTTACCGTCAACCATCGCGTACACGTCCGACAGCGGCGTCCGCATTATCAGTCCGCTCACACCCGCCACCAACGCAACAAACAAACCTTAAAAGAAGGGGTAAATATTGGATTTTGGTGCGGGATGGATTGTGGTGCAGGTATAAACAGACCCGATCTCACCGCCCACACCCGCCACCAACACACCTTAATTAAAAGAAGGGGTAAATATTGGATTATTGTGCGGGATGGATTGTGGTGCCAGTATAAACAGACCGACCTCACCCGCCGCTAAAGCCACCAACAAACCTTAAAAGAAGGGGAAAATATTGGATTTTGGTGCGGGATGGATTCCGGTACCCGTATAAACAGACCGCCCACACCCGCCACCAACATGCCTTAAAAGACCCTGAAAATTATCATTTTTGTGCTGGATGCATAGCAGCGTCTGCATATATGGTTCCCTCGTACCCAACACAAAAATAATTTGAAATGGGGAGAAAATTTCTAATTTATTTTGAGAGATAGGACTGTCTGCTTGATCAGTCCNAAGAATTTTTAGTTATGATATAATTAATTAATATTGATAATATTGAATCAGGAAATTATTCAGTAAAGCAAACTTACTAATTTCAGTGGGAGAGGAATAAAGTAATGTTAATATAAAAAATTTCTTTTTATCAGGATTTCGTCAAATATCACCTAAATCTTTTATATAAATAATCTTCAGGCATAAAACATCGTCAGACTACTGAATTCCATCTCACCTGCTGAAAACAGTCACTCATATTTTAGAATGGCCTGGAATTGTTATTTGCAATTCAATGCATACTTGCGAAAAACTTAAAAGAAATTTCTACAGGAAGACACAATCCTACCGAGGCTTCCATTTGTCAGCTCAGGACAGGCGTAAAGTTACACAGGACTTCGCTGTTGGGTTTGCGAAAGTTTAGCCTAAGACGAATCGCTTTATTTGCTAGGCGCTCGAGAATAGGAAAGGTGCGCCGGCAAATATTTTTGAAGATACGTAGGCAAAATAACGTTTTCACAAATTATGTAACTTATTTAACTTAACTTAAACGCTTAAAAAATTGTTCCCATTGTATTTCCGTTGCCGAATTTTTCCTCTTTTTTGTGATACACTGTCCGACGATCCTAGCGCTTATAGAGAAACATATTAAAAAATATTCGATGATGGGATTGAAAAATTAACTTTCTAGACATTGTAATAAAGCAAATAATTCAAAACAAAGAAAACACTAAGTGAATTCACAATTTCTTCATCGAAAACATTTCGGAGACATCAATAGCTCCATCATCAAAAACTTCTATAATTTTCATACTCTTGATATAGCAATTTTTTTAGTTCTTTGGTCGATTTCTTTGGTACTTGGGTTTTAATATATTTTCATGTAAATTTGGCATTTCACTGCTGATTGCACTCGGGCTCCTTAAAAATTTTAACCTATGATCTATTGCGGTCTCCAATAAGTTTTCTATGAAGTCATCGTAAATTTACATGACACTCATTTTATTTTGAAATTGTTTGTTAACTTGAGTTTGGAGCAGACTAAACTCGTAGTAAAACTTGTAGTAACTCGAAAATTGAAATTATTTCAAATAAGCAATGACTTAATTTTAAAAAGTTGAATTGAATTCAAAATGCCGCACAAATTTTAATTTTAAATACAGTTTAAATTTCACTGAGCGAAAAACCGAAATTTAATATAACAAAGGACGGAAATTTGATTTAACAGAGGACCGAAATTTGATTTAACAAATCAAAAATCTTATTAAACGAACAAACACATTTTCATTTGGCAAATAATTAAAATTTAATTGAGCGAACAATCAAAATTCCATTTTACAATCAGACTGAATTATATTAAACAAATGAGTAAAAACTTCACTTAACACCCTAGGAACTACCATTCATCAATCATTATAAATTTCGCCATCAAGTATTACCCCTTTTCTATGATTTCGTGGCCATGCGCTTGAATAATAATTATAACTTTTCAGTGCCAGGCCTTGCAAGAGTGAACACTCAAAATTCCAAAGTTTAATTGATTATTTATTCGTTATCAATTACACCTTCATTGAGTATTTCAAGATGTTTCCAAATATGGATATTTTGTTCGCAAATGTCAAATTTGCAACTAATTTTTACGACTTTATTTCAAACGAAGAGAATATTTGTTCGAATGCAAAGTATTAGATTATCGCGATATTACTCTAACAAATGCAAGAAATTCAACAATAACAATCTATTGACAATGCAACATGCGTATTGACCATGCAACCATAGTGTAGGAGTCACCCCTTAATCAATCGCCCCTGAAAACCTTTACAGAGTTTTCTAAAAAAAATTTAGCAACTTATATTCTTTGCAAATTTGTAACAGGTTTCAAAGAAATTTTAGCGCGGATGAAAAGAATGCATAAAAATTCTATTGTTCCTAAATTTGTTATTATGACAGCAAATAAACATTTCAGTGGTGACATTCCACTTAATGATGTCTCAAATGAAGCAAACCTAAAAACCTATACTTTTCCGGTCGAAACCTACCTCTTTTTCAACTGATCTCTATTTAACTTCACTAAATTCATGTCGCCGACGACTCGAAAAATAGATTGCCAAGTAAAATTAGAATTCCCATAGGAAAAAATGTTCGTAAAATCTGACGCCGATATCGAGCTCGCATCCCATTCAGCAGCAAAGCCGCTTCTGATCTCAAAACCGGAATTTAAATTGATGATTTGCTACACGAGAAATATTTGTATAGAACGCAACGGTGCGAGATTGAGGGTTTGCAAAAAAATAGAATGAGTGTAGAATTAATATATGCTGATCCACAGATAAATACCGCCAATATCAAACTGTTGAAATGTTACAACATAAATGCTGTAAATGACGTACCATGAGAATGACTTCATAAAAACAAAAATACATCGTTTTTTTAATGCTCAATCAACCCAATGTAGACTATAAAGATAGAAAGTTTAAAATGCTCTTTTAAGCTTATTGTTAAACTCTAAAACTCTCTCGTTTGTAAAATTTCAATCTTGTATTGATTGCTTGAATCGAGCATTACTTAAAATTATGGGGCGAAAAAGTATTAGAATTTCCTGGACATTTAAATTAGAACGTTTTGGAGACCAGGGGCCATACTTTCAAATCTCGTTACTTATTCTCTATTTTCTTGTCTATGATTGGTGGATTTTGCTTGAAAGGCCGTCAATGATTGGCTGATGAACTTACGATGTCTTAACTTTTTTTTTGAAAGTATAGGCCCAGATACAGCGTCAGTTCACAAGCACCAGAATAAACATACGTGCTGTTGTATCTGGATGAAAGGATAAATATGAATTAAGGATAGCAAATTCTTGTCTTATCCTATCTGAATATATGGTCACTACTATACCTAGTTTAGGGAAAAATAGATTAATTATCACTGTTCAGAGGGATATTCCTTTTCTGGTTTCAGGACGAGGGAGCCTCATATATCTGATTATTAAACGGCTGTCTGATTTTACGACTATTCCTGCTGAGGAATAATCGTAATCGTAATTAGGGAAGAATAAATTCTTGCCGTGTCTGATTATTTTATTTTAAAACAAATGAATAATTTTCATATTAGAAACTATATAATTTATCTCACGGGTACCCAGCTCAGGACATGAATATTCTAAGCCTGCAAGGATTGTAGTGGCTTCAAAATATATCAAATTGCATCAAAAATAATAACAAATAAATTGTAAACATATATGATCTTCCAATGGATATAAGGTGATTTCATTATTGGTAGTTCATGGGTCAATAAATTTACAAAGAAATCCGCTTAAATTATTTGCTATATAGAATTGATGAATTGAAAAATTGATAAATTCCGTTTCTCCTATTAGGCAACATTTAGTTGAAGCAGAAGTAATATTGTTAAAATAATATAAAATAAATAAAAATTTGAAGCAGAATTTAAATATTATAATTGGAATATAAATATTATTATATTTTATATATTTTTCAACGTTGATGACAACACTCACCCAACAGAAGCGTCGACGTTGCCTTCATGTCAGCCGCCTGTGAGAAACAAGTAATAAAATTGATAAAGAAAATTTATATTCTCGTCGTATATTCCTGAAGAACTGCTGAAAATAATCCTCACAATAGTAATTAAACCATTAATTATTCAATGTGAGTTGGAGAAATAACATTAAAACTTTGATCGATTTGTATTATCACGTTTAATCGACGCAAAAAGAATATAATGTCAAGATGGCGATATCTGATCAAATTTCCGATGATTGAACATATACTCTCTAATGTATAATTTATATAATAAATCCAAAGTTGAAGGTGCCATTTGCTCATTAGTAAGTACAGCAAATATTTTAAATTAAATTAAATTTAAAAGATATATACAGTAAATGTAATTTTCAATAGCAAGTTTGGTGAACTGGGTGCGAATATATGGAGAACAAATGTAGTGTGTAAATGCATGAATTCCTTTTAATATAAAAGCTAACCTACGCGCGTCCAGATACAAATGTTAAATAAAAATAATGGCGCCATTATACATACATGCATAAGCACATTCAAGTTACTCATAAAATTTTATAGTACTTGATATAAATATATGATTAATCCCAACCAACTCACATTTCCAGCAACAACCACCTCCAAATCTAAAGTCATGTCTCTCCTCGACGTAATTTTTTCAGCAATTTTATCTCTCTTAAACGGGCTCCGTTCACGGCATTCGAGTCTAACGAAAAGTTCGAGACGCGGTTTTTCAATTGCAGTGACCGAGTTAAGAAGTCCCGGCACCAGTCATTGAACATTCGACGAGCAACCGAACATTTCCCGTCGCGAGATTCGGAGCGACGCGTGACGCCCGAAACTTGGCAACTCAGCGGCCTGAGCTGTGCCGGGGCCTTAAGATTCTGCGCTGAGCAAGCAGACCCATGGCTTGAGAAATATGCGTTTAAAAATTACTTTTTAATATTTTTTGTTCATATGTTTCCAACAAATTGTATATCATTATGTTAATATAAAATGTTTGAC